AGAGACCACGCCCAAGTGGGCTGGTATCTTAAATGCTATTAGCTGAAGGAGTGAAATATCCCACAGCAGGGTTTTTTTTCACAATGACATATACAGCTATGGTTCGCACTTTACACTAGATACTGCATGCCTGGGATATTCATGATCCTAATGTGTTAAATATCATTTCCAGGAGCCCACTGGTTTGGACTGAGCTAAAGCACCAGGGGCAGGCAATAAGCCAGACAAGATAGAATCAACTTATGCTGAAGTTCTAAGCTACTAAGTTGAAACCAAGTTATCGGACCTCCCAAGAGAGCAGGAGACAGATAACAGCCACATCCACAAAAGGCCAGCTTTAGCCAACATTATAATGAAGTCTCTCTAAGGCAGTGGTTCCCAACCTGTGGGTCACCACCCCTTTGGGGGTCACATATCAAATACCCTGCATATTAGGTATTTATATTATGATTCATAACAATAGTAAAAATACACTTATGAAGTAAGTGCATGAAATAATTTTATGGTTGAGGGTCACCACACCATGAGGAACTGTATTAAAGGGCTGCAGCATTAGGAAGGGTGAGAACCCCTGCTCTAAAGCTTACAAGGAAATAATTATGAAATGACCAATACATTTTTTTGGTTTGTCTTCTGTGTTCTCTTGTCCTCAGCCCTTTTGTCAGTAAGGCCACACCCTCACTCAGCTCATCAGGACTTTACAGGATTCTAGAATCACAAATAAAAGCCAATTAAGATATTTAAACTAAATTTTCTTTCTCTGACTGTCTCATTGGTGCAGCATAGCTATGTGGTGGGACAGACAAGTGCTCTGACATCAGTGAGAGGGGCTTTCTGGTGTTTGGTTTCTCTCACCCCAACTCGCTCTTGAGAAGCACTCCCCACTACATTTTGACTTGGGTAGAATAATTTCTCTAGTAGCAACACAGTAAACTGGAAAATGGAGAGTAGAAAGGACGGATGGCAAGAGAAGCCAAGAGAGGTATAAATTTTGCAATGGTGGGTGAGGGGAAAACCTCCAGTGGGAACTCTGCTGTGCCTGTACATAAGTGTCCTCTGGAGTCCCAGGCAGAGTCACCCCCTCAGCTCCTTAGTGCAAGAAGAACACCGAGCCCAGAGGCAGAAAAATGACCCTCATAACTCCTGGCCAATGCATGTGTGCTCCATATGCCTCCTCTCTGGTACTCAGATCCGCATCGGTCGGAAGGCCAGGACCCTTGGTCTCCAATGCCCTTTGCAGCTCCAACAGAAAGTTTCCTTGCTCATGCTCTCATCTGGACTCCTGCGAGGCTTTGGTCACTGGCTGTTATGAGTGTGCTCCCACACTCTGTGGTAGGCATCACAGGGACACAAGGACAAGATGTCATCCATGCTCGCAAAGCCAGCAATGCTCACTGAAGCCAAATCTGCGAGCCTTACAAACGTCAGTTCTGTATGCGCTGCTCTCCTGCACGGAGTCACTGCTCCTCCTGCCCAAGCTGTGAAGTCAGACACTACTAAGGCAAGAACCCACAAGGGTTGGAGAGATGGCTCAGGGGGTAAGAGCCATTGCTCTTCTTGCAAAGGGCCTGGGTTTGCTTTCCAGCACTGATATGGCAGCTCACAACCATCTGATACTATGTCCCAGAGGACCCAATGTCCCAGAGGGCCCAATGTCCTTTTCGGTCTCCGCCGACACCAATTATACATGTGGTACACAGACACACATGCCGGGGAAACACTCACACACATAAAATAATAACAAACAAATCTTTAAGGAGAAAAATAACCTTCCATCAGCATTTTTATAACCGTACTTGCCTGCTGATTTTTTAAAGGACACATTTTTCTGTTTCTGGGCTCAAACCATAAACACTCACTCTGACCTACACTTGTGCCTTGCCAAAGACCCAAAACAATGGCCTACCCTATCTTGAATTTGAGCCTTCATAATCAAGAGCCAAAACAAATGGAGGATGTAGAGACGAGGAATCTACTTTCTCAGGTGAAGATGAAATGTTCTGAGCAAAGAGCTGGCACGAGAGAAATGGGTAACAACTAGGCTGTCCTTCTGTGACTGTTCCCTCACTTGAAACAGGTGAAGCACGCTTGTCTTTTCAAACACGGTTTCATGCGTTTGCCCATTTTCCTGCTATGTAGAGTTCACTGGCCCAGCTGCTATGCAATCAATGTTTTGTCATTAAACAAATATTTGCTGAATGATTAGCCAGGGAATAGTAATGAAGGTCCCAATTAGACCCAATCATTTTCTCAAACATATGGTAAGACAAGAGAATCTGCTCAGGAGCAGAAAGGGGCGAGCAAGCCCCCAGAAACAAGTGCTCTGCCCCAGGCAGTGACTTCCCAGAGACCCTCCCATCCAACTCACTAAGAAATGAGCCCTGTCCAGTCAGAGTAAATCCTAAAGCCAGCTGGTCAGGGTTATAAATGTCTCCCCAGCTCCCATGAGCTTCCATACACTCTCTCTGTTCCTGTTCAAAACACTTGTAGCCGCACAGGGAAGTCTGCTCCTGCCATGACTCAGAGTAGTGAGTGCAGCCCTCTGCCAGCCCACAGCCACACTGCTCAGAACACAGAAGCCAGCACTAGCTTCTCAGCAGGGAACTCCCCTCACTGTCATGGGTCAACTCCAGATTCGTCCCTTCACCTATACAATCTCGCTGAAGCAATGACTTACCCCCGTGGCCAAAAGAGGAGACCCCCAGTTTCCATTAAGACCCCCCTACCTCTTATTTTCCCCTGATTCATCTCCATAGACTTTGATGTCTCTGTTTCTCCTTCCATAAGTTAAGGTTTGCTTTTGGTTTTCCTTTCAGAGAAGGACTGTCTCTCCATGCAAGACCCTTTTTGGAAATGGTAACTCTCATACAGAAACAGGCTACGTCAGTATGTACCTGTATGTGCAACTCATAGGAAAACTCCGGGGCACAAGAGGCCAAACATGTGAGTCAGCTGGAAGCTAATCTTTCCTTTCAGCACACTTAAAATACAAGAATCTTCTAGAATGAGTCTATGCGCTGCCATTAGACGGCTCTTACGGACTCCACTTAGAAACCTGTGGGGAGTTTTACGTTGTTTGGGACCCGACATGACCTTCCTTCAGCTTTTCAGTTCCACAGCACACATTCTTTCTTCCTACTGCCCTGACCAGATGTGTTGACATCATTAAAATAGTGTTAAGGGCTGCTCATGTGGATGATGGGACCAAGAGGCATGTGGGCAAGTATAAACTGGAGGTAGGGGAAAAGCTTGTAAGTGCTGTTAAAAATTGTTTTTGAAAACTCCACACCATTCCATGTGACCACTTCAGTAATGGCTTTGCCAGCTGCTCACAGGAGGGGGAGACTAAGTCTGAGAATTAACATGGATAGACAGAAGCACTATTTGCACACAGTTGAACTTATCAAGAACCACCAACCCCACAGAAGGGGGACCGCAGTTCCAGTTTGCCCATCTCTAGAAATGCCTGTTCCCTGAGATGCTTACAGTTCTCATCCATGGTTACTTCAGATGGCCAGCTTTGTGGTACCCTGCCTGGCACCACAAACCAGGGAATAGTCCACAGAGAAGCAGCAAAATCAGAAGCCAGTTCCTGTCCATCCCTGTGCCACTCCTGCCCCCACAGACGGCCATAACTTGGGTTAGGCAGATGCTGCTACAGCAGGGAATCTTTAAGCTTACTGTTTAAGCACTCAGTATAAAATCACCATTATTACCATCTCCCCTCAGCTCTCGGTCTGAAGTATTTAAATATTTTAGCATTGCTATAACACAACACACCTTAAGAATCTCTATACATTTCGTAGTTTTTCTATCCTGCTACCCCTTAGGCTGTAATTAAATGATCGGTGGGTCCCACAATTGGTATTTGAGAGTCACAGAAACATGGTCTTAATGTCCAGGACAGTGACTGGAGCACCGAGCAAGGGCCAACGGCATACGACAGGCCTATGTTTAGTTTGGTTTTGTGGGATTAAAGGCTAAGGATGAGCGAGACCAGACCCAAGGGAAAGACTGATACTGATGTGGACTCGAAGCTAAAGAGCTAGAGGCAGCAGCTGGATTGGAAATGGGCAAACAGGAAAGCATCCAGTTCAAAGACAGGAATGAGAAAGGAAATGTGTGTGCCAGCTATGCAACTAGCCATGGAGGTGGAGAAAGGTGGTGGGGGCGGTAGAACGAACGTCAGCTCTCTTTTCTCCCCAGCACTGTGCCATCGCGACAGCTTGAGAAGTTGGCAAGAAGGGGTCCCTGCACAAGGAAGGGTACCGCCACAAAGCCGGACTGGAGTAAGTCCTAGGGGACAAGGAAACTGCTCACAGCTAAGACAGACTTGACAGAGGACAACCCAGGAGCAGAGGACTGGGGGCTGCGAGCCCAGGAGAACTTGAAGGCTATAAATTGGGGGGAGGGGATGGGCCAGGGAAGCAGCGAGAGGAGGGGGGCAGGCTAGCGGGACAGCTCGCGAGACCTGCCCAGGTGGGTCGGGGGAGGCCTCCACTTCTCACCCCGCACGTCGTTGGCTAGCTCCCTCCACGTCGGGGCGAAGGCGATGCAGTGGCCACACCAGGAGGCGAAGAACTCCACGGCCCAGGCGCTGCTGGAGCCGAGCACGGTCTGGCGCACCGTGTTCGCATCCAGCAGCGTCAGCTGGTCTGAGGACGAGTAGAGCACGGAGAGCTGGGCCGCGCCAGCGCCGGACAGCGCGAGCAGCAGCGGCGGGAGCAGCAGCAGCAGGAGCTGCGATGGCGACCCCGAGTGGCGGCCGCACCTCCTCATCCTAGGCGGCTGGAACGTCCACCTCGCTCGAGTTTGTGACCAGTCTGTACCGGGAGGCCGCCGCGAACCTCCGGCCTCCGCCCGCGAGGAGGAGCTACGAGGCTCCGCCCCGAGGCCGGCGCCGCCTCCCGGGCCGCCCCTGCGGGCCGCGGGCTCTGGAGAGGCGGGGCGTGAGCTGCCACCAGCCAGCCGAAGTCTCCGCGTAGGTCGGCGCCCGCCGCTCCCGCCCACAGCGGTCTAAGCCCCGGGCCGGGTCTACAAACGGGTGCGGGGGGCCTCAGGACGCGGCTCGGGGTCGCTGCGGTGGCCGGGCGGCGTTTGGCCACTCTCGGCCCCGGTATCGGAGGGAAGCGGAGTCCGTTGGCATGGTCGTTACGCGTTTATCTTGTTCCTGGAAAGTTCCAGGGGCTCCCTCACGCAGTTTTGACAGTGGGAATTCGAAGTAGGTGGGAGAAAAGAGCCACGAGGTAGGAGATTGTGATTGCCAAGGCCCACAGGAGCCAGAAGTACGCTCGCCTCGGGAGGCCAGTGGCCATTCAGTATAGGGAGCTTTTGCTTGAGGGTTTTCCACCCACAGTCGGCTGGGCTCCCTTGCCGCGGATGCGAGGTTTCTTTAGCGTTCACATCCCACCGCCTTCGAAGTTGTTGCGATGATTCCACTAAGGAGGGGCTCCCCACAGCCCAGACCCTGCATCTGTCTCTCTTAAGCCTATTCAGACAGTCCCATACCCCTACCCTCTCTCAAGCCATCTGATCAACTAACCCTGTGTTCGCAGTATGGAGGTGGTAATGGGCTTTCTGTGGTCACCTTTTGTACCTCGGGTGTCTTGTGCGATATCTTGAAGGGTTGTCACCCTGAACATTTCCTTTTGTGTCTCTGGATGAGCCCCTCCCTGTGACCCCTTGGGGGAACTCTTGAGTTATTACTCATTTTCTTCGCGAGAAACTGAGTGATGTCTTGGTGCCGGACATGCACCAAGCGATAGAAGACTGAGGGGTGTGGACCTTCCACTGGGGATAAAGGATGATACGCAAGCAAATGTAGATTGGCCCATGCCAAACACTATGGGGTGCTCTCTCGGTCGGTGGTCAGGGACAGGTACATTTTGGTTTTTGCAGGGACTGAGTCAATAATACCACTGAAGACCACATATAGGTTTGTATACTTAGACAATGACAAACCACTGAGTTGGGTGAGGCGTGCCCAGCCCTAGCTATTCTGCAGGCTGAGGTGGAATAAGAGGAGTTCCAGTCCCAACTTGGGCTACACGGTGTCTCAAAAAAAAATGTTATATAAAATTCCTACCCTTTCATCTAGTCAGGTGTACCTTCATAATACTCCGGAAGGCTAATTTCTTTCTCTGGAGTTCTTGAGCTCCGCTGAGATGTTTGCTCGGATATGTTGGCTTTGAGGATAACTGGTCCCTGATCTTCTTTTTACTGTTTGCACTCTGCTGTGTTCCATTGTGAATACAACTGTAACAGCTTTCTTTGTGTATCTGAACTTCGTACACTCGTCTACAAACTGAAGAGCCATGACTCTTCAGAAAGAGACCTTGGGAAAGGGTCAGTGCAGGCTGTGCGCCTAGTGCTGGCCTGTTGCTCGAAAGGCAGTGTTTTAGAGTCTCTGGTATTCAAAGCATAATTTTTCTCCAAGAAGCAGGAGCATTGGGTGGTGCACATGTTTTTATTGTTGTTGTCGTTTTTGTTTTGAGACCGGGTCTCTGTTTTGTAGTCCTGGCTGTCCTTGAACTCTCGCTGTAGACCAGGCTTGCCTTGAATTCACAGAGATCCTCCTGCCTTTGCCTGCCCAATGTTGGGGTTAAAGGTGTATGTTATCACCACTACTCCTGGTACACATGAGCTTCTTGCTCTGTGGAAATGAGGTAGCTAAAAGAAGACAGCCCCAGGGATGGGCTTGGGGTGCCCCGATATTAAGGAAGTTCTTACAAGGAAACATTTGAACTAAAGATTAGATTGATGTTTGGGAGGGAACTTTGTGACCGTCTGAGGTAAGATCATCCCAGGCAGTGGTCCAACAGTTGGGGCTTTTGCTTCTTTCAAGTATTAATATTCTTATATTCTATAATAATTATAACTCATAAGGAAATTCCATCACCAGTTGGTGGGAAGTGAGCTCCTCTCTAACCCTAAACCAGTTCATGTGTTGCTAATCATCCTCCCTGGGCTTCAGTCCTGTTCAGCTTTGGTGGCCCCACTTCCATCCATCCTGGCAGCTACTGGTCTTAAGGTGTCTTCTAGGAATTTTGAATTCCAGGGAACGAAAGTTCTGTAGCTGCTGGGTCAGGTGCCAGTAAAATGTACCTTAGATGTTGCCACTGTTAAAAGTGTATAGTTACTTCCCCAGAGGGAGGAGGATTAAAGAGACATTGTGTGGAGGCCAGTCTAGTACCTGGAAAACAGAGGGAAGAGAGAAACACAAAGATGGGCTTGTTTCCATATCTTAGAGAATCAGAAATGGGAAAGAATACAAAGTTTTTGAATAACGTAGAGAAAGTTTCTTGGCAGAGAGGCCAAAAAGATTAAGACTGGAGGTTATAATGTCTGAGATTTCAATTTTTTAATCTTGGAAGCCCTTCTTCAGTTTTGAGAGAACGCTTACACAGGTAACACACAGAATCACCTAGAGTAGTTCCTACTTTGTGGTCTCTGGGGTTTCTTGGGGACTGTTGGTCCAGAGTTAGCAGAAAATAGGAGCCATGAGTGCGTGATTCAGCTGGTCAAGGTGATTGCTGTCAAGCCTGCCTACCTGACTTTAATGCCTGGTCCCCACATACTGTCACTAGACACCCAACTTCCTTTTTTTTAATTGATATTTATTGAGTTCTACATTTTTCTCTGCTCCCCTCCCTGCCTTTCCCCTCCCCCTTCAACCTTCCCCCAAGGTCCCCAGAGACCCAACTTTCTACAAGTTGCCCTCTGACCTCCACTCCTTCACTGTGGAGTCCAAATAAATAACAATATGTCACCATCTGAGCTTACTGTGCTTCCTAAGATGAACAAGTGACAGAAAAAGAAATCTTTCAGAAATGAGAAGTGGAGAGTGGATGGGGTGCTGTGGAAACCATTGAGAATTGGGGGCAGTAGAAATTTCTAGGCAGGCCCCCTGTTCTCCCTCTTCACAAATCTTAGTAGAATGGGCTGAGCTGACTGAGCTGAGAATACAGACAATATTAGATATACATTTGGCACCTGTCATTCTAAGCACTGTGTCTATTATTCATTTGGTCCTCTTTCTAACTGTGAGGTTGATACGGCCCCATTTTACAGTTGAGACTAACAAGGGACCATGTTGACTTTCCTACCTATGAGTCATTCCTGTATTATGCATGAATTAAAGAGGGAATTTGGAGATCTAATAAGGTAGATGGTGAGAAGAATGCAGCTTATCCGCAAAACCAGATAATTATGGTGAGCAACCAAGGAGTGTTTGGTCAAACATGTCACCAGGTAACAGCATTAGGTGACTGTCTACTTACTCATCAGCAGGAAGGATCAGAGGGGTGTGTGCGCTAGGAGGGAGTGACAGCAACAGATAAGGCACACGTGTTTCGTCCTTGAAACTTACCCCTAAGTCCTCCAGATGAACTTTGGGGGTTAGTGTGTTTCTTTTCTTTTGCTGAGTAGATTGTAAATTAAAAGGGAGGCATTATTTTTTGAGGATTCTGAAGGTCCACTGCTGGCCATGGCCTTCCTGCTGGCAGAATACATTAAGAAACAGGGCACACTGGTGTGCATCTGTCTCCTTTCCCTCGAGTTTTGAGGTGCTGGGGATAGCAGGGCCTTGAGCTTGGTGCTCTCCTGCAGGGCTGCAAACCCAGCCCTTAATTTTTCAAGACTACAGCCTTGGCTGTCTAGAGAGCCTCCTGTTTCTGGCCCTCCCCTCCCTTGGGTGCTGGGGTTATAGTCATTCACCATCACACTCAATTCTCCCACTTGTCAACTCAGAAGTCATCCTTGCCTAATCCAGACCACTTCTCACAGGCCTCACCTCTTCATGCCACAGTCAGATTGTTGCCTCTCCCTCTTGTTTTGTCTCACTGCTCTGATTCTGCTTCAGCCTTCTGAGTGATTCTATACAAGCATGTGTCACCCACTGTACCAGGCTAAGTTTCTGTCCTTTTAGTACTTCACAGTGGACACTAAATTTCATCACAGGGAACATTGGGGGTATATATACTCACAGGGAACATTGGGGGTGTATATACTCACAGGGAACATTGGGGGTGTATATACTCACAGGGAACATTGGGGGTGTATATACTCACAGGGAACATTGGGGGTGTATATACTCACAGGGAACATTGGGGGTGTATATACTCACAGGGAACATTGGCGGTATATATACTCAAACTATATTCAAACTAGTGCACTTTCCACAACTGGAGGCATTTGGAATTCTATTCTGAAAGTCTCAAAAGAGTTCATGGCAGCAAAGAGAAGCTACATTCAAAACCATTACGTTAGTTTCTTATTGCAATGACAAAACAACATGAAGGAAGGAAGGAAGGAAGGAAGGAAGGAAGGAAGGAAGGAAGGAAGGAAGGAAGGAAGGAAGGAAGGAAGGAAGGGAAGGAAAGGTTATTCCAGGCAAGCTGCTCATGCACTTTTCTGTGGACACGGTGGGTTGACCAGAGTCTGGCTGGACTTAGCCACTCATTTTTTTTTCTTCTTCCTGGATGTGGGTTGAACAGATGTCCCAGCTGGCTGGACTCTTTTTTTTTTTTTTAATACATTGTATGTGTATGACCAGTTGGCTTTGTGGATGTGGGTTGACCAGTTGGTAGCTCACAGTTTTAGGATACAGTCATGATGGGAAGATGTGGCAACAGAAGGCTTAGGCAGAGGTCACGTTTTATCTTCAGTCAGGAAGTAAGAAGAAATAAGTGTTCATGCCCACCTCCCTCCCTCCCACTTTTATTCATTCATTCATTCATTCATTCATTCACTCATTCAAAGATTCCATCCTGTGGGGAGGGTGCTCCCACATTCAGGATGGGTCTTCCATCCTCAGTTAAACCTCTGGGAAAATGCCCCGACATATACCCAACGGTATGCCTCCTAGCTAGTTCTAAGGCCAGTCGACTTGACAGTATTAGCCATCACACTTCTTGAACAGACTTATGAGAAGGACTTTACAGAGGTATAGGCGTGCAAAGAGAGCTAATTTAGAGACTAGACACAGCTCAGAGTCCTTTGAGCACTCCTAAACCAGAGGGGAGAGAGGAAAGGTTTTTACTGAGGAAAACTAACAAGGGCTAGAGTCCAGCAAGAGAGGCTACCCAACTGGAATTGTAACCACAAAATGCCACTGTGGCTAGAATTATGAGGAAGCTGGAGAGGGCTCCAGGAAAGTATGATGTCCAACCCTTTCTTCTCCAGTCTGTGCTCTCTGGCCAACCAATCAGAAAGCAAAGAGGGTGCTTGGTTTATATAGTCCCCAGGAGCCAGGTTTCAGGGTGAGAGGCAGGAGAGGAGGGCAGGGGGTAAGGAAAACAATGTCTAGTTTAGAATCCTTAAGCTTGGGTCTTTCCAAGTTTCCGAAACAGGTCTAGAAAACACAAATTCTTGAACAATAGGAGATCTGATCATATAATTATCTTTCTAGCTAGTCTTTTTCATGACTATTCTTGATTCCTTTTTTCACCTTTGTGACGTGTCCACTGAATGTTTTGCTCCTATAAAAGGTTAGGCTGTCTTATTACTAGCATAGAAAAGTTCTATTTTTATAAATGGCCGGATGCAAGTCCTTGACAAACTCGAAACATCTCTTGGGCAACAGCCCGTGATTTTCTTAAGGTGTGTCTTCAATGAGAAGTTCTAACCATTCCTAGGAAGGCTCTTGTCATGATTTATGTTTGTGTGTGTGTCCGTAGAAGTTTTTTTTGTCTATTCTAATCCCATAAAGATTTTCTTATATCTGTTTTCGTCTAGAAGTTTTATGGTTTTAATTTTTACATTTAGGTCTCGATCCATTTCATGTTAATTTTTATGTAGGAAGCTAGAGGTCAGAGTTCATTTTTTTTCCTTAAAATAACCAGGTGTGTTAGCAATATTTGTTGAAAAGACTATCTTTTTTTTTTCCTTATATTCGGTTTTTCAAGCCAGAGTTTCTTTGTGTAGCCTTGGCTGTCCTGGAACTAGAAAAGACTATCTTTTCATATCTGAATCAACAGTTTTGTTTAAAAAAAAACAATTTGCCATGTATAAATCTATTTTTGAACCATTTTAAAGTGTGTGTGTGTGTGTGTGTGTGTGCACATGTGTGCGTGGGTGTAAGGTGTTTGTGGAGGTGGTTTTCATGTCATAGATGGTGTAGAGATCAGGGGACAACTTTGTGGAGTCATTTCTCTCCTTCCACCATTACATGGGTTCTGGGGATCAAACTCAGGCCACCAGGCTTTCTCAGTAAGTGTCTTTGCAGACTAAGCCATCCTGATGGGTCCTGGACTGCTGGCATTCTTATGACAATGACACAATATATAGTTTCTTGAAATTGAGATTAAAATTAATTTTCCATAATTTCATCCCTTTTAAGTATACAATTAATTTTTGTATATACTCATACAATTGTGCAACCACCATCACTATCTAATTCCAGTACATTTTAATGGTCCCAAAAGAACCCCATACCTACTAGCAGTCGCTTTGGTAACCCCTCCTTCTCAGCCCCTGGAAACTATTCATTTCTGCCTCAATGGACGTGACTGTTTCATATAAATGGGATCATAAAATATGTGGTTATTAAGTTTGGAGTCTCTCAGCAAAGTTATCTTCAGGTCTATTTATTCATTCTTTCATATACCCGTATGGTATTGTTTGGAGGGAATATATTTTATTTCTCCATTAGTGGACATTCGGGTTCTCTATCTCCTGGCTACTATGAACATGCTGCTGGGAACATTCGTGTGCAAGGGCTTCTGTTTTATTTTGTATTTTGAGACAAGGCCTCATTATGCGTCCCAAGCTGGCTTCAGACTTACCACATAGCCCAGGCTGCCTTCTAATTCCCTCACTTTAGCCTCCTGAGTACTGGAATCAGAGGGTGCATGGCCAGGTGTGGCTTGCAAGCACGTGTAAGCATGCTTCAGTTATGTCCAGTGCATCCTTGGGGCTGTATTGCTGGGTAGAGGAAACCGCTTTCTTCTGACAGTAATTGTCACGTCCCCTGATGATGGACGTGCCCCACTTCTAGTTCCTTCTCTTACAGGTTCTCTTGGTTATCTAGTTCTTTTATGTCCATATGAATTTTAGGATCAGCTTGTCTGGTTTTTCATTTTGTTATTTTTAAGTTCATGACTTGATATGTTCAAATAGGCCTTAACTGTACTGCACCTGGCTCAACTTGTCGGGTTTTTTTTTTTTTGGCAATTTTTATTATATTTTATTTTTTTACCATGTATAGAGAAAGAACAACTTTCAGGAGTTGGATCTCCTTCCACCAGGTAGGTCCTGGGGATTAAACTCAGGTCATCAGACTTAGCAGCAGGTACCTTTACCCACTGAACCATCTTGTTGGCTCGCAACTCATCTGTATTTAAAAATTATATATATTTCAAACCTGATAAGATTTTGTTTGGGATTGTACTATTAATCTGATTTTCTACATTTTAAAGTGAGTTTATTTGTTATAAGGTCTCTGGGAGTTTTGTAAGTTGTGTTTCGACCATATTTATACACACACCCTAAAATTGGTAATTTAAAAAAAAGCTGTTCATGCAGTCTCAGACTCATAGGAAGGAAGAGAGGAACCCAGGAGGGATTGCTTAAAGCTTTTGCTTCATCTTCAGGATTCGAATGAAGCAATTTCAAGATAACTTCTGCAGACTAGCTGAAGGATTCCATATGTCTGTGTTTTAGACTTATGGTATTTATTTCCTGGCTGTGGCCTTTAGAGCTTTAGCTAAGCCCTTAAAGTTGGCTAAAAATTTAGCCTGCTCTCTGATTAAGGTTTTGTTATGTATTTGGTCCAGAACTGAGCTGAAGCCAGTGTGTTGGAGTAGCTCTAGAAGAAAGAGAATTTCAAGCCTGATGTCAAAATTTGGGGTATCACATCTGAGCCTGTTGGTAAGTATGGCTGCTTCCAGAGGTTAGAACTCAGGTTTGAATGCTTTCAACTAAGGTCAGGGAGAAAAGACAATTTCTCTCCTAACCCTACTTAGAAATATACTGTGGGAAAACTGAGGCCAGCCTGGACACAGGAGTCACGGTTGGCTCTCTCCAGACAATTGACAGCCCCAACCCAAACCACACGGTTACTGAAGAAGGACAGTTTCCCAAGAAAAGGGAAAATTGTTACCAGTGACAAAGATCCGCGGTTGTGCAAACAAAGCAGACAGTGGCCACCATTAACAGATTGCAGGGAGCAAGGAGGAAAGGCGAAAGGAGCACCGTGGCTAGACAGAGGGGATGAGGGATGGAGAGGTGACGTGCGAGCAGGTCATGAGCTGTTCATTCATTCTCAGTCGTGTGTGTGTGTGTGTGTGTGTGTGTGTGTGTGTGTGTGTGTGTGTGGCTATGGATAAGATGTGTGGGCTTTGGCCTTAAAAAGCAAAATAGTTTGGCTGTGATGTACCCAGAAGCAGTTTTCTTCATTTTTATCAGATATCTTACTAGGTTAGAATAAAGGATAGAACTTTAGCCTAGGATATGAAACGCCCTGGATCCAGTATCAAAATGTGTGTCTGTCTTCCAGCGTAATTAGGAAGTCGGGATTGCTCAACTTTTATCTTCCATTTCTCCTGTTAGCCCAGTTACAAGTGTGCTTATTTATAGGACTGTCCTCTGAGCCAGACTACCACCATCTTCAGTTCAGCTGGCCTGATCATAAACTGTCACAGCTGAGACTGTGAAAGAGGGGGAAGAGTCGTGAGACCTTCATCTGAATAGCCAGCCACCCCTGCCGGTCAGGTACACCTAAGCAATTCTTCCCTAATTGTGTGCTCTCTAGGTCTCTGGGAGGGGCCAGGGTATAGGCTAGGGAGGGGTAGGGGAGGAGTCTCGCTCTAGCCACAGCCAGAATTCCTGGGGAAAACTCATCCCTGCTGAGTGTGGATTTTCCGGGGTGTCTCCATTCTGTTAAGCCCATTTCCTAATTAATATATTTCAGATATTATACTTTTGTTTTTGTTTTTCTGTGTAATAGCCCTGACTGTTTTGAAACTCTCTTTGTAGACCAGGCTGGCCTTGAACTCACAGAGATCCGCCTACCTCTGCCTTCTGAGTGCTGGGATTAAAGGTGTGTGCTACTACTGCCTGGCTGATGTTATACTTTTAATTTATGTTATTATAGATAATATAATTTTTAGTTCTAGAATTTCCATTTATTTTAAAAATAATTTCTGTTTTTCCTTTGCAATTTCCTGCTTTTTCACTCATGAAACTCACAGCTTTGTCTGGTCACTCTTTTCTGGGATTCTCCCCTCATTTTCCAATGGCATTGAGCCCCCTAAAATCTAACCTGTGGTCTTCAAGCCAGAAAACATTGCTGATTTTCTAATAGAAAAACTGAAACTGAACTCTTACAGAGCTTTAGCTGCTCTGTAACTTGACGTGCACAGTGACGACCGTAGCACCTTCCCACGGTCATAGAAACAGGCATCCCGTGAGCCTTCCCACGGTCATAGAAACAGGTGTCCCGTCAGCCTTCCCAGTGTCATAGAAACCGGCCGTCCTGTCAGCCTTCCCACGGTCATACAAACAGACCGTTCTGTCAGCCTTCCCACGGTCATAGAAACAGGCATCCCGTCTGCCTTCCCAGTGTCATAGAAACAGACATCCCGTCAGCCTTCCCACGGTCATAGAAACTGACTGTCCCGTCAGCCGCTGTTTGCCCTCCAGAGCCTTTCCTGTGTGAAACTTCAGTGTTTGCCCGCGGCTCTTTAATGTGCCCGCACCTAGATTGCAGCTCTTATAAGTAATACGATGAACCCCTAGGAGCTTACTAGTCATAGTGGGACAGATCTCCAGCTTTAAACATCTTAAAATTTGTAATTCTATGACTGAGACTATAGCAATAAATAGAGCTTTAAATGAACTAATTTATCACAGTGATCTTTTTCAATTTGTCTGTATTCTATTCAGTATTTCATTGTTATTTATATCAGTTTTTAACATTGTTGATAATAGACATTCTGCTTGCATAACACTATAAACAGTTGTGTGGTAGAATCTTATTGTTGTTATTTATTTTTTAAAAAGATTTATTTGTTTATTTTATGAATATTTTGATTGCATGCATGTGTGTGCCTGTTGGGGACCTAGAACTTGGATTACAGCTGATGACTAGCCACCATGTGGTTGTTGGGAATTGAACCCAGGTCCTCAGCAAGAACAACAATTACTTTTAACCACTGAGCCATCTTTCCAGCCCCTATTTAGGTTTTTTGAGACAAGCTGTCACTATGTAGTACAAGGTTGGATTACAGTGAGTGCCACCGTGCCTAGCTTAGGAAATGTTTAACAGCCTGCTCTTTGGCGGTGGGAGCGCTGCCTGACTGGTAGTATTTGCTAGTTTCCCCAGTACAAACAACCCAACTGTTTGGTTTTAGGTTACTGGCAGAACGTCATTGACTGCTGGCCTGGAAAAACACATACAATCAGGTCCTAGTCAGTGTGAACTGGCTCTACACACACACCACCAATTATAGTGGCTGTATCATAGTCCATCATATGAATGGCTAACAGTATACTCAGTTATAGCTAAACCTTGAATATTATGCTTGCTTTAGTGTTTTACATCATAAACACTCACATGGTTTTAGTGTTTGTATCTTATTCCCTCCAAAAGTTCATTGGTCTAAACTGCTCAAGATACGAGTACTTTCCTAAAGTACTGTATCAATGTATTCACCCGTAGCTATATATATAAATGTCCAAACTTTAACATACTGTTCCCATGCATATGCCCACAGCTGTGTATAAGTGTCCAAACTTTAACATACTGTTCCCTGCATATGCCCACAGCTGTGTATAAGTGTCCAAACTTTAACATATTGTTCCCTGCATATGCCCACAGCTGTGTATAAATGTCCAAACTTTAACATACTGTTCCCATGCATATGCCCACAGCTGTGTATAAATGTCTGGGCTAGAGAGATGGTTCAGAGGTTAAGATCACGCTGCTCTTCCAGAGGCCCTGAGTTCAGTTCCCAGCAAACCACATGGTGGCTTTCTACCATCTGCAATGAGATCTGGTGCCCACTTCTGACCTGCAGGCAGAACACTAGATAGATAGATAGATAGATAGATAGATAGATAGATAGATATAGATGATAGATAGAGATAGATAGAGAAAATAATGTTCAAGCTTTAAAGTACTGAACCAATGCATGTGCTCATAGTTATATATAAATGTCCAAACTTTTTCTTTTCTTTTTTTTTTAAAGATTTACTTATTATGTATACAGTATTGTGTCTGCAGGCCAGAAGAGGGCTGAGCCACCTCTCCAGACCTTTTTTTCTTTTCTTTATTATTATTTTTTTTCATTTTCCTGAAGCTCATGTAATGGGGATTAAAGCCAGGGCCTCACCCATGGTAGGCAAGCCCTCTATCGTGAGCAACCCCAAGCCCCAACTGTTATTTTAAAAGGGCACTGATACTTACTCTCAGGGGTCAGTGTGAATATAAAGAAGTACTATCAGTACCTCCTCTCCCCATTTCTTTGTGAAGATTCTCACGGAAATACTTTATATCAGAGGAGAAGGTCTGGGGTCAGTGATTGTCTGGCCTTCTCTTTGAGAACTTGGCACTGAACAACCTCGTGAGTTCATCAGGTGCCTACCAGTGTGGTAAATAACAGAAGTGTCTGGGGAGGTCTGCCTCTCTCTAGCCTTCAGCCCTGCTTTTTTCTGCTTCTCTTGGATGTTTCTCTGACTTAAAGGAGTTCTGTCTGTCCCACTTTCATTCCCTAGTGACTTTATTTTGTCTCTTACATCCCATTTTTTGATAAAATGTAATAGCCACTATTGTTTTCTTTGGTCCTTCTGTTCTCCAAATGCTAAACTCAACATGACTTCAAGCAGAATTTGTGTACTTCCTATTGACTTGTGATTGTCAGGGCTTAGTCCCGGAACAGCCTCTGAGTCCATTCAACCTGAAAGATTGAGTCCTGGCAAGCAAACAGGTAAACATCCCCCGCTCTCTTCCTAGAAGCAGGCAGGCTGACTGGAAGAGGCAGGGTTGTATGGGAAGAAAAAACAAAAACTCGTTGCTGCCGGACTCTTCAGTGACCTTTCTCTCACCCTGGGCAGATTCCTCAAGGTCTTTGATTCCTGTTTTCCAAAGGGAAATTCCCATCTCTGTTTGATCACAGTGAAGCATATTTAACTAAGTGTTGTAAGGTTGTTCTTTCCCAAACCACCCACACAGGAAGGCCCAACTCACCTGATGGTTTTTGCGGAAACCCTGAGTGGAGAGTCTTTGTCACTTGTAAGGTAACTCTGAAGACAGAGACATTCAGCAGGAGAGAAGGCAGAGGCAGGCCCTGGGTTTCCCCTCCCTCGTGTGGTCGGAAGACAGCTAGACCTGCTGTACTTGGAAGCAGCACCCACGGAGAGCGAGCCTAATGATGAAGTTTGTTGCCTTTGCTCCCAGAGTTGGGTGAAGCTGTATTTCTCAAGCCCTGTGGGGACGGAGTGGAGGTGGAAGGGAAAGGCCATAGCTTGGAAAGGTGTGATCTTCCACTGTAGAATCTGCTGCTGGCCACGGGGCCCAGCCCCCACACTCATCCCCAGCCTTCTGGGAACGCTCCACCTTTCTTGACTTTCTTGATCAGGTGTAAGAGGATAGAAAGAACCATGACTTCCCCAGGGACGGTGCTTGACAGTTCTAGAGGCACCTTGACTCACGCGATCTTTGGAAGCAGGAAGAACAATCCTGCTTGAAGTGATAAAGCTGAAGAAACTGAGTTCCAGGGCTGGAGAGATGGCTCAGAGGGTAAGAGCACTGCCTGCTCTTCCAAAGGTCCTGAGTTCAATTCCCAGCAACCACGTGGTGGCTCACAACCATCTGTAATGAAGTCTGATGCCCTCTTCTGGCCTACAGGCACACACACACAGACAGGATATTGTATACATAATAAATAAATAAATAAATATTAAAAAAAAAAGAAAGAAACTGAGTTCCAGGAGGCTAAGAAAGTTGCACTGGGTCATACACCTAGTAAACAGAACCAGGTCCAGAACCACCCATGGGAAGTGAAGAGAGAGACCGCAAACACCACTTCTTTCCTGGAGCATCGCAGCTTCATGCTGGTGCTGGGCTGCTTCTCATGCTCCAGGATAAACCATTGCACACCCTCGTCTCTTTTGTGCCCTTAACACAAGGCATCAGAACAGAAGCCACCAGCCAGGGACTTTCTTCCCCTACTCCACTACAAGCTGCCGTGTGCCTGCATCACTCAGCTGTTGTTTTTGTCCAGCACCTTTATCTCAGTACCCACTTCTCTGAGCGTGTGCTGGCTGGCTCCCAGGACCCTGGTCTCTCAAGGACTTTGTGCCTGATCCCAACCCTATGCCCCACAAGAGCAAACCTTTCAGCAAACATGCATGCTGTCTCCAACCAGAAAAGCAGAATTCCTGGCTGAACTTCCCACCTCTCCCAGGGACTGTCCCATCTTCTTCCTTCCCTCACCACACCAGAGCCATCTTTGAAGACTGTATCTACTTCCTTGTTTCTCACCCCACTCTAATCTGCCTTCTGACCTCACTACCCCACTGACACTGCTTGTTAGGGGTGATGGTAGAGGGTGGTGGCCTCAGCCTCCACCACTTCCATCCCTCCACTTTCTCCTCAAAGGGTCCTATCTGGTTCTATACTTTGTAAATGCCATCGGCAACCCAGGTCTCATAGTACCGTAATCTCAACTATTTGGAGGACTGTGGAAAAAGAATTACAAGTTCAAGGCCAG